AACAATGAGTTCTCAGCTTGGCCCACACACATTACCTCAGAAGTTTTGAAAAACATTAGAAGCGTAGTTACGTAATCTTGGTATCAATATGGAGGGAAATGGCATATTCGCATATGCCCGAAGGATTATACTTAACGTGCAGTGGATATTCTATCAACTTGTCCGGGCCCACATTCGGGCCCATTTGATGCCACGTATTTTTGTACGGAACCGCGGGACGTGGTAATAATTAGGCCTGGGCACAAATCGAATATCCAGAATTTTTGTGGTATTTGATATTCGATTCGTTTCAACTAAATACTTGATTTTGTGATTTGCTTCGATTCGGAAATTTCTGGATATCCGGAAATTCGAATATCCAGATTTTTTTGTGATATTTGCGAATATCCGCTTCGGTACATCTAAATATAAAAAAAAAACCGTAGACTATATAAAATAACAAAATATCATATATTCAAAGTTTTTGTTTGACATGTTTTCAAAATAAGTTCCAAAAAAACAAACGTAACCATTGTTGATATCACCGATCAAGAACATGCCATCAAACTAATTCCAAAAACTAAAATTAGATAGTTTAAAATTCCACTAATCAAAACATAACTCTGTGTAAATCCAGGAAGAAAATGCTAAAATTTGAGAAACTAAATCGTCCACGGCCCACTTCTTATTATTTATTTAATATTTAAGGGATGCTGATTTTTTTATTTTTATAAATAAATTCCAAACACAAGCCCATAAGCTCACCAAAAAGAAAACACAAGCCCAAAAGATAAAAAAAAAAAAACACGAGCCCAAAAGATTAAAAAAACACAAGCCCAAAATATACAAATACACAAACTATACTATGATATGTATATATATATATATATATATATATACATATTCAAATATATATAGAAAAAATACAGATCGAATCGGATATCCAACTTTTTAAAAAACAGTATTTGGTATTTGCTTCGGTTTTAACGAATATTATATTTTTTTATTTGATTTGCTCCAAAATCTTACGGATATTCGGATTTTTTGAATCAAATCAAATCGAATACCGAATCGAAGCGGATCAAACGAATATTTTGCCCAGGCCTAATAATTGTGGATGTGGTTGTTTCACTGGATCGATCCTTTTGATGACTCGGCGACCAAATAATGGTCTTGAATTGGGTTCGAACCGACGTGGTGTTATTCGATTATTATATTTGGTTTTAGTGTCAAACACTCTATACGAGCCTCCACTTAAAAATTTAATAACAAATCTTTGTTAAGGTCATACTAGATCATGATCCGCACATATACGTGCGGGGTTTCATATTTTTAAAAAAGTTCTAACTAATTTTAATTTAATATAGATTATTCGTTGTTTATATGATATATATTTTAGTGTATTAGATATGGATTCACGCGTACGTGCAGAGATGTTTTAAAAATATAAAATATTTTGTTGTGTTAGTGAAATTTATAATAGTATAAATATTATAAAATTAGAGTAATGAACGAAATTCAGTTGCGTTAGTGCATAGTTATATTTTAAGATCCGCACCTACACGTACGTGCATAATTATATTTAAGATAAAATTAAGATATAATTTAGTTGCAAAAGTTAAATGATGTTACTTTTTTATTTTCTAAACTAATCAAAACATTTCTAATAGTTTGATTACATGTGTTAAATAGGATTTAGATTCGGTTTGAGTTTGGTTATTTCATGTATATTAGCTAGGCGTAACTATTTTAGAACGGGAAACCTATCCCGTCATGTATCTGTCATAAATTCTTGGTCCCATAAACCGTCTCGTATATGTGAAATAAAAATATGATGGTCCAGTATCCGACATAAAGAATATGTGTAACTGAAAATGTACGTACAGGGTTATGTATGTAAACAAATTTATTTTATATAGTGCTCATAACCTGAACTCATACCAATTGGGTATTTAGTTTGATTTTTAATTTATGTTCTCCTCTCATCCCGTCTCGTAATTCCTATTCTCATTTCATTCCATTAAAATTATGTTCCAAATTCTTGTTTGCTTACTTTTAAATATCATACAATACATACTGTGAGTTTTACAGATTAATATAAATGCTGCTAAAGTTACAAATATATTTTAACAAATTTATTAATATTTATTTTCTTAGCTAAATTTTGCATATTTTTTTTATTGTTTAATCATAATTAATTTGATTTTTGGACTAAAAATAAAAATTTGAGATACATCTCTAAAAAGGATATGCTATTGCTGCATAATTTGTTTTGAATTCAAAATATATAATTAGTTTACATTATTTGAAAACTGTATGCAATATATTAGGGATTTATTTAAGGAAGATCCGGTTGAAAAACAAAAAATAAAACGCAAAATAATTTAGAAATTAATATATACAATCTATTGATAGATATTTATCAAACTTGCTCTAAACGAAGGTTATAATGATAATTACTTTAAATTTATTATTATTTGAGTTTATTTCATCATAAATATAAATAGTTGTTAATATCTAATATCGTATTTTAGAAATTGTGAAATAAAATTTTGTTTTATATTTTAAAATTTGTGAAAATATTAGAACAAAACTGAATCTTAAAATATTTGTATTTAATTTTAAATTTAATCTTAAAGTCTTCCATTGATAAATCTTTTAAACGATAGTGTTTTTAATTTTGAATGAAAATGATATTATTTTTCTTTTTATTTTTGATATAGAATATTCTATTACGATTGGTTTAGATAAAATCTTAGTTGGATTTCAAATCTTAGTTTTTCAATTCTTATTGGTTAACAATTTTTTAAAGATTAATTTCAAATTTTCGTTTATAATTAATAAAAGAGAGAAAGTTAGTGTTTTTTTGGAAATTAATAATTATTTAAAAAAATTAAACTATTTTTAATTAAATATATTAATTTTGTGATTATTATTGTACCCTTAATGAAGTTATTTAAAAATACTAAAAACCAATGGCATTTTTTGTAATATTTTACTCTTCATAAGGTTACTTAATATTTAGTGATTCCCAATTAATAATATAGATTGTCTTAGCTAATACTGTATAACAATGTCAGCAGAATTTTAATTGCAATAATTTATGTACTACATAATCAGATTTTATATATTTTTTTACAGATTTTGATAACAACTGATAAACTCAATAGTATTTATATGTAAAATATGATAGTTTTGTTATTTAGAATCTTGACAAATTAATAACAAGTTAGTTACATATGGCTGTGGCTTCTTCATTAATTCATTAGTCATTACGTTAGTCTTTGAAATTTTCATGACCACAAGAAAATATTTGTTCCGTTTTTCAGATTTTCATAAGAAACAAAATAGAATAATCGATGTATATCACCAACTTCTACGAGGATCGTGAGTCGTGGCCAAGACAAATGACTGTATAATTAAAGAAGTCGTCGATCGTTAGGGATACAAATTTTCTATTTCTAGGGCTGATATTTGATATGACAAAATAAAAATAAAAAAACTGAAAAGAAAATGATGACAAAATATAACTTTGCATTTTTTTCTAACCGTATAATTTAGACAGTATTATTTAGTATTTGCAAGCGGTACTTCAAATTTGCAGTGCCAATTGAGCAACAACAAATTGACTAAATTGACGGTGACCATAAAAAATATAAAAACTTATTAAAATATAATCATCTTTACAACTTTAATTAAAAGAATGTGCGTCTATGTAGATTTTGACTCCTTCAAAAACCGGGTTCTTTCAAGATTAGGATTTTTCTACGAATCGAAAAATTATACAAATAAGTTCTCCTTCTAGTTGTAATTAATCATTTCTTAATAATAATAAGAAGACTTAAAAAGTTGTTTTTTATAATTATTTTTTAAACTTTCTGAGTAAATATTGTTAGTCATGGTAGGATATAGAACATACAAGAATGAAGTAAAGCGACATCAAATATATTTTTGGTAAGAAAATCATGAAATAAATGATTTTTTGGTTGTTTTATCATATGGGCCAAGATGTGAACTGCTAAATGTCGGAAGAGTCTCTCCATTTCCAAAATACAGACACAGCCGAAGATTGAAGGATAAGGAGTATTTATTTTTTCTGTATACTTTTCTTGGTTTCATATGAACAAAATTGATTATTGAGAAAAAGAAACAACCATTAGAAATATTTATTTTATATATCTTCAATTATTTGCCTAACTTGATGTGTCCTTTAGGCTTATAAAAAAAAACTTGATGTGTCCTTTTAAGTGACAACACATCGATGAACCATATGTTTAGCCTCATGTTGTTTTATGAAGATCGATTGAATTTGATCTTCCTATCTATCTATACATTTTTGTTTGTTTAAAAATGCCAAAAGTTCGGGTATCCAGAATGTTCGAACGCGGGATACGTATGAAGTGATGTCTTTCACCGCCGTAAATCTCTGGATTGACAGCCGGTAAAAAAAGATTAAAAGTTTGATAGTCCATAACGCAATGTTTTTCTTTTTAACACTCATGGACTTTATAAAACCGTGACCAAATATTCTATTGCGTACAATAGTTTTGGCTATAGAATATTTCATCATGCTCTTGTCGAATTGTTCATTGTTGCATGTTCACTATTTTTAGCGTCAATGTTGCATTTCATCTAGATTTTAGTTTCGTCCAAATTCTAAATCCCCTAACTTGTTCGATTTGTTCTCTGATTTTATTGTGCTACTATTATACTGCTCAATTGAATATTTGGCAGTATTCGATTTGTTCTCTGATTTGATTGTGCTACTATTATACTTCATCTTCCATAATTTTTATAGAATCCAGATTGTTAAGTTTCATAAACTTCAGAACGTACGTACAAATATTTGGGCTATTTGTTTTCAGTTTCGAGATAAAGCCCAAATTCAAACCCATTTGTACAAAGAATCTCACTCATCTATTTGTGCACACATTCTCCAACGCTCAATCATTTTTATAAAATAGAGAATTATCTTCATTCTCGATATACGAAACCTAAAATTATTGAAAAACATATTTTTTTTTTCTGTATATATATTAAAAATCAGTGAATATTTGTGAAAGTTTCTTGCACACATATAAACGAGAAATATATTTTTTTATTTATCCAAACCCTTGATATCAAAACATGAGACAACAAGAGCAAGTATTAGCCACCACCACAAAGTAATCATCTTAAACTCAAACCTCAAAACAAACAAAAGACAAAACCCGATTATATCGAGCACAAACGTCACTTGTGGTTTAGATCGTCTTCATCATCTCCATAACTTCATATTTTCCTCTCTCTTCCTTCTGCTACCGCCTACCGTTAGCCATGTCTTTGGACACAGTGGACAAGCTGGTGGTGTTCTTGGCCAAGAGAGACGGCATAGACAAGCTTGTGAAGACATTCCAATACGTGGCCAAGCTCGCGTGCTGGCGCTTTGAGGCCACGCAACCGGAAGCCGCCGATAGGTTCAAGAAGTGGGAGGTCGCGTCCGGTCTCAGCCGCAAAGCCTTCAGGTCCCACATCTTTCTAATATCAATCACTTTATCTACAAAGTGGCATCATCGTAAATATAGTTTAATACATGAAATGTTTGCTATATTTCACTTCTTGATTAATATCTTATCTCATCTTGAATAGTCACTAATAGTCTAATACTAATGAAACTTTATATTAAATGATAACAAGTACAATTGAATAGATATATTTACAGTAGCATTAATCATTGTTAACTTATGGTCGGATTATGCGAAACAGGACCGGGAGATCTCTCACGGGGTTCAATGCGCTGAGACGAAACCCGGGGGCAACCCCGGTGATCCGTTTCTTGGCGGTCCTAGCCAATTCAGGAGAAATGGTTTACTTCTTCTTCGATCATTTTCTTTGGTTATCAAGAATTGGTACAATAGACGCCAAGCTCGCCAAGAAAATGAGTTTCATCTCCGCTTTTGGCGAATCTTTTGGCTACACTTTCTTCATCATCATTGATTGCATTTTCATAAGACAAAGATTCAAATCCTTGAAAAAACTCCGGTCATCCGATGGACCGAAAGACGAAATCGGCGCAAAAATTAGCGAGATTCGGGAAGATATAGTAATGAGGTTGATGGGAATTTCGGCCAACATTGCGGATTTACTTATCGCATTGGCAGAAATTCACCCAAACCCCTTTTGTAACCACACGGTTACACTCGGTATAAGCGGTTTAGTTTCGGCATGGGCCGGCTGGTATAGAAATTGGCCATCGTGAGATGTAATAAAATCTAATGGTTGTTGTTTGGAATGAAACATGGCAAACGTTGTAACTCACTTGAATATATGAAACATTTCTATTTTACATTATTTATGGATCAAATCGAAATCAAATAAAACTAAGGGTATAAAAAATTATAATACATATACGTGGAGGGGCATTAATGAAATTCATAAAACTTGGTAACTGTAATTAGTAACTTCCCACTCTCTCACCCTCATTGGGACGGTTAATTTTTTTTAAAAAATTCATTTTCATCAGAAGTTGTTACCTTCTCGTAATATTTATAGATTTATAACGAATCAATATTCACTAAAGAACAGAAACAGAGAGAAGATTTTCGAAAGAAATTGATGAGAACAATGATTCCAACATCGTTTTCAAGTAGGTTTCAAGGAGTTATAAGTATGAATGCGTTGCGATGTTATGTATCAGAGTTTATCTCTACCTTCTTCTTCGTCCTCGCAGCCGTTGGTTCTGTCATGTCTTCAAGTAATTACTCTGTTTTCTAAATAAGTTTGATCTCTTTTTTGTAATAAGAAGCAATTGTTAATCGTGTTTTTTTTAATTATTAGGGAAACTGATGGCTGGTGATGTGTCTGGTCCGTTTGGTGTATTAATACCGGCGATTGCGAATGCGTTTGCGTTATCATCGTCGGTTTACATCTCTTGGAACGTCTCTGGTGGTCATGTGAACCCAGCGGTTACGTTTGGGATGGCGGTTGCTGGTCGGATTAGTGTTCCAACCGCTATGTTTTATTGGACTTCTCAGATGATTGCCTCTGTTATGGCTTGTCTTGTCCTTAAAGTAACTGTCGTTGAACAGGTAATTAAACATGTTGTGTTACATGGTTTCGTTTACTTTTTGTCTGAATTTTTGTTCTTTGTTTAGTTTGGTTTTCTTGATTTGTGTGCTTAAATTTATCAGCACGTACCAATCTATAAGATTGCCGGAGAAATGACGGGATTTGGAGCATCGGTTCTTGAAGGTGTTTTAGCGTTTGTCCTGGTTTATACGGTGTTCACGGCTAATGATCCGAGACGTGGTCTACCTTTAGCAGTGGGACCTATATTCATAGGGTTTGTTGCGGGTGCGAATGTTCTAGCTGCTGGTCCGTTCTCTGGAGGTTCGATGAATCCGGCATGTGCCTTTGGGTCGGCGATGGTTTACGGAAGTTTTAAGAACCAAGCTGTGTATTGGGTTGGGCCTCTGCTTGGAGGAGCAACAGCTGCGTTAGTGTATGATAACGTGGTGGTTCCGGCAGAAGATGATCGTGGTTCATCTACTGGAGATGCCATTGGTGTGTAATGACTTGTTTTTACTGTTGTATATGTTGAATAGTTGATGTAGGTTTTTTTTTTTTTTTTTTTAAATTTTCAGTTTCTGATATGTTGTTGACTTGATGTTTAATTTATTGATTACTTCTGTAGTAAATTGTAGGCCTGGTAATTTAAACCGAACCGATTTGTCCGAACCGAATCGAACCGAAATTTGGACAAATCGGTTCGGTTTCTTGAATTTGAGTAAACCGATCGGAATGAGTTCGATTTAGGTTCGGTTAACCGAGATTTTCGGTTCGGTTCGCCTGAACCGAACGGTTAACCGGAGAACAAAAAACCCTAACCTAATAGTCTTATTAGCCATCAGATTATTTTCTCCTCTTCCTCAGCTTCTTCGATTACTCTTCAACTTCTTCTTCTTCTTCGATGCATCATCATCTTCTTATTCTTCTTCGATTCATGACTATCATCTTCTTCTTCTTCGATTCATAACCATCAATCCATCATCTTCTTCATCTTCTATTCATCATCCTTCATCATCATCATCTTCTTCTTCTTCACCATCATCTTCTTCTTCTTCTTCTTCTATATTGTGAGCTCCGCTTTCCAGATCTCGCCGCCACGGTCTTTGCAATTCAGATCTCGCCGCCACGGTCTTGGCGATTCAGATCTCGCCGCCACGGTCTGCGCCATTCACATCTCGTCTTCTTTCTCCAAGCCAAAAGACAAAAGCCTTTTTTTTTTGTTAACAGGCCCTTTTGTAGACAAAGCCCAGTTTTCAAAATTATTATGGCCCAAAAATACAAAACCGAAAAACCGAATCATAAAAACCGAATTAACCGGGTCCGAACCGAACCGAACCGAAATCGTAGTCGGTTAGTTTCGGAACAGCTTTCAAATTCCGAAAAACCCGAAAAACCGAGAAACCGAACCCGAAAAAACCGAACGGGTCGGATTCGCAGGCCTAGTAAATTGCATTACAAACAATTTGCTATTTTACATTACTTTAGTATAACTCTGGTTTGAGAAGCTTAGCCGATACTTTTGCATCTAAACAAAAATTCAGAAGTACCATTTGGGTCTTACTTCTTCTTCCTTATCGGTTAACTCACGATACTGATACCATTCAGTACCTGAAGTACCAATTGGCAATGTTGGTCGGAGAAACACTTCAACTGGTTTCGGCACACTGACACAAAGACGTATCTCATGCTCTGCTTCATTGAGCTCTCTCGATTCAGTTCCTCGTGTTCTGCGGATTGGTTCAATTGAAATCCATCCTAACCCAGATATTGCCACATCACTAGCCGGTCTGATCAAGAAGTGTGTCAACGTTAGGTGAGGATCATTCGTTTTACCAAAGAGAGATAGGAATGGAAGATAAGTATTTCACCTTTTAGCATCGTTGATTTCGATCTGGAGTAATCGGTGAGATTGTAACCCTTTCCACTCCTGCATCTGATCTTTCCCTGATGGAGGTGTCAGAAGCACACCCAGTTCTTTCTGCAGAACAAATGAGTATCAAGTTAATGGTAAAAAGAAGATTTAAATTGTCCTCAAATTAGTAATGAAGTTGATACTGATGGGGAAAGAAACTTGCCTCGTAAAATGCAGTCGCTGTTTTGGTTGGTACTACATGAATATCAAGAGCCTTTGGTCCATAGAATGTGAAACATGTTTCTGGTAGAGCCTGCAATATGTCAAGTATGTAATTCAAAAATTCTGATATCCATCGTGAAACTGAAACATAATTCAGCATTCATTCTGGTTATAATATTACCTTCAAGATGTCGATCCTAACGAGACCTCCCCAAAAAAATGTATAACCGTTTAAGCTCTCCCCCTTGGGACTACTTGGCGATTGAGTTGGCAAAGTTGAAATCTGTAAGGAATAAAAAGCACAGTAAAATCATCATACTGGTGTTACGGTAACATAATCTTTACCTGGCCGTAATATAGCAGACTTACATCGAAAGACTGGCCTCTGAGCCGATTTTGAGGAGCAAGGGCGGGTAAATCATCTGAATGAACGACAGCTGCTTGCCTGTGGTGTAGGTGCACACCCGGTGTATCATACAACTTCTGTGGTAATAAGGTATTCTTTTAGCAGAATGTTTACTGTGGCAAAATTTTTGAAAAGTTCTAGAATCTGGTGGTGGTTTAAGTTTATACCTCTCCTCCGAGGAAGGCGTTGATCTGAATTGGACCCAAGGTGGTTCCAGGGACCGCAGATTGAATTGGTTTGTACTTTTGTGCCGCTGCTGCAACAGGATCCCTTTCGGCCATCGTTTCTGTATAATGAAGTACATATACAACCACTCAAACTCTCTTTATAGATGCATAAATTGTGGAGAAATTGGCTCTACTAGCAATCAGGCTAAAGCAGCACCCAGACCATATCCAAGCAGATACAAAATTCAACGACAAGTGACGATGGAGAACAAATTACTTACTAAGCAAAGCATTGATGAATGCTGACTTCCCTACGTTAGCTGCACCCTGTGAAAGTATGAAGAAATGATAAATGAACAGTATAGTGTCGAGTTTGTTGTTCTGATGGACATAACAGAAAATCAAACCCGAGAAAATTGAATTTAAGTAACCACTGCCTCTCTCATTAACGTGCATTAAGCTATTATGTAAAAAGTAAGAACTCGCATCAGTTAGCGATAGGTTTACTAACTAAAACTCTTTTTTGTTGGTGACAAATGCACATACCAGAATGTAGACATCTCGTCCCTGAAACAAAAACAAGGATACAGAGGTTAGGTTGCAGAAGATAAATGAATAGAAGGTTATATTGTCCGATACCGAGCCATAAAGGAAACAAGATGTAGCCAATTCTTGGCATTTACATTTCTCAAGAGATATCTTTCAGCAGTAGAGTCAAGACAGCTTTAAGGTGGTGCAGTATATAAAAATAAACTACCTTTTTTTCCTTCTGGATTTCTGATGCAACTCCGCTAACTCCATCCAGAGACTTCGAGCTTGTGAGATGGACACTCAAGACACTGTAAAGTTAGATCACACCCAAATCAGACACTAGCTCCAGAAACATTAAATCACTTTCTGGCAACAAACCTAGTAGATAAGTACTTGATACATACTTAAGCTTTTTCCTCATGGTCACTTCTACAACCCAATCCCCGATACAATTCATATCTGTTCCTTTCGGAAGAAGATCAATCTAACAATACAAAGCACCACTATGTATCAGAAAAAAGTTGAAAAGGACTGAAGAAGTATCCAGGTTCTAAAACCTTACCTTAGTTATAACTAGTATAATCGGGTTAGCTCCAACTAAGTCACGAACACGAGCTAAAAAGCTTCCATGAAAATCCACAATATCAACCTGCGACACAACATGTTGATGAATTCTTGGTACATAAAACAGAAAAGAGAAGTTCCATTCTAACAATCATCTCACCAATTTAACAATCAAAGCTTTCTCATGGCGTAAATGAGAAAGCTTCTCACGAAGTTCATCAGCTGATACAAATTGTTTACCACCTGAATATCCACCATTACCACCAACTGCTGTAATCATATGTCCATGAGACAATAGCTGACATCTTCCACATATCATAGTTCTTAATTGGTGATGCTTCTTCTTCTACAATAACAAAGAAGAAACATTCTAATTCATCAATCAACTAAATAAAATTGAGATTCTCAAGCTCGAATTCATACCAATTCGTAAGTAACCAAATCGGCAAATCCCGGAGAATCGACGTCGGAAGTTTGTAACGGAGCACCGCAGCCGTAACAACATGAGATTGAGGTATCAACAACCTTCCGTGCAATAATC